TCTTTCTTCATCTCTTTGTTATCTAATTCATCCGGTTTAGTTAATGTTTCGTTTGATATTTTATTTAACCCTTCAAAGTGTCTATTGAGAGTTTTCTTAATTTGATTTTGAACGAATTTTAATGGGTAATCATTTTTTTTTTTTAACGCTAAATTTTGAATATACTCAAATTCAATATGCATTGATGAATAAGAAGAACAGATTTTAATAGCTCTGTAGATCATTGAGCTAATCGCTGAGACTTTGTAGGAGTGAGGAACGTATGAATTCCATTTCAGTAATAAGCCAGTAAAAGTAGGTTTTCGATAGATAGAAGTTGAGAATAAATTCGATTCATACGTATTGGAGATGGTTTGAAAGAATTCACGTAGGCAATTTAAAAGATGTCCACGAGCTAATGCTTGAAATTTAACATGTATTGAATCATGTAAAGCAAACACAAGGAGAATTTCTTGGACTCGATTTAGTTTTAATATTTTCCTTAGTGAAGTAAAGTAATCCGGTGATATTTCTAATGATGTTTCGGAAATAACATTATCAAAGGCATAACAGATTACTTCTGTAAAGTTAGGTTTGTAGATTAAGGATGAAATTTCTTGTTGGAGATAATTTAACTGAGTCATTCCAAAGTTGATTTGATCGATTGGTTGTGAGTCACGATAAGCTAAAAGGTAACGATGTAGAAGCTGTACAACAATAGTCGCATGTTCAGATAAAATAATATGTTCATCTACATTAGGATGTTTTTGGTAATTTGTAGATGTTTCATCCGTTTTTTGTATTGATGTCAATAAAATACACGAGCTAGATACGAGAGCTATTGGTGAAGGATAAAGAAAGGGTAAAAGTAACGACGACTTCTGATTGTTTAACTTATTTCTTGGATATTGTAATCGAAGTAAATTAAGAAGTTGTTCATACTTTTCGACGCTAACAATTGACAAGCGTTCTTTTGTTATTCTTAGAAATGAGTGAAGTAATTCAATAGGTAATGTATTCAAGTCAGTTTCATTAACATTAAAATTTGTTCTAGTTATTAGTATATCTAGGAAAGAAATAGAATTATTCTTTTCGGTTTCGACTGTAAATTGTATATCAACATCAAAACTATTTAAAATATCTAATAACTTATTAATATCAGCATTATCATTAACTAATACAAAGCAATCATCCACAAACCTCTTCCAATATAATACACCATTTTCATCTAATCTACGTTTCAGTTTAGATTCTAAATAATTAATATAAATGTCAGCAAATAAGGGTCCCAAGGGACTGCCCATTGCTACACCCTCCGTTTGGCAATATAATTTCTCATTAAATATAAGGTGGGAATCTTTTGTCGATATATCTAATAACCATTTTAATTCATATCTATGTTGACATTTACTACACCAATCCGTACGTTTAAGTTCGCTAAATGAACAAGTATGTATTGGTCCATACATCTTATCTAAAATAAGATCAATGGTACGTGCAAGAGGAACACGTGTAAAAAGCGATACAATATCAAAGGAAACCATTTTTATGTTGGTGGTGTTTAATTTTAAATTTTGCAATTCTTTCACAAACTTAAATGTATCAATTACAATTGTTGGACTAGTTCGTAAGTGTTTTAATTTATTTGCTAATAATTTAGATAATTTGTAATTGAATGTGCCGCATGCAGAAATAATGGGGCGTAGAGGGACACCATCTTTGTGGATCTTAGGAAGTCCATAGGCTTTTCCAGGTTGTGATCCAACAGGTCGTGTAAATTTATATTCACTATCAGTTAAAAAACCAATGTTTTTTAAGTGCAATAATTTTCTCTGTAGTTTATCTTCTTTTTGAATAGTGGGGTCCTCATCTAGTTGTTTAAACGTCTTTGGTTCATTTAGTATCAGTTCCATTTTCGTTAAATAATCTGATCTCTCAAGAATGACGACTGCTCGAACTTTGTCTGGACGCGTGATGTAAATTGTTTTATCCTTCGATAAATTCTTCAAGGTTTTCACTATTGGATCTATTTCTTTCTTATAACGTGATATTGATTTCCTTGCATGTTGTCTAAATGTGTCACAAGATTTACGTAATTTTGTTGCTAGACACAGTTGTTCTGGTGTTAAATTGTAGGAAATTCTCTCATCAAGATCTAATTCATCGTAATCAGTTTTTTCCGAACAATAACCAAGTAAATTTACAAATAAGGTCTCAATGTTAGCTATGAAGGTTTCATCATCAAACTTAAGTGATGGAAAGATGAAATCGAGACCATTTTCTAATGCTAATGTTTCATCACGAGTTAAAACTCTTTTTGAATAATTTTTAATTGGTGAGATTGTAGTTGATGAATGTTTAATATCCTCAGAGAAATTCTTTAATTCTCTTAATTTATTTAATTTTGTTATATGTCGTTCTGTCACTGATGTTACTTTTCCTTTATCAATCTCATTAATAATTATTGATATTTCATCACTAATTTTTTTATGTAAATCAGAATCTAACAATGATTTTAAGTTGTTATATATTCTATAACATTCAGTTAATTGTCGTTTTTTTACCTTGATCTCATTAATCAAGATCTCACGAAAACAATTTTGTATCGCTCTTTGGTGGCTCAAATGTGTTGAAGGTACTTTGAATTGCACAAATGTGGGTAGTACTTTTTCTCTTTTGCAGGATTTTAAAAATGATAAGTCACATTTTATTTTAGAAATTTTGAACAATGTTTTCCCGTAATAAAAAACATTGTTTGTAATGTAGGGCCCATATTGCTGCCTTAATATTTTTAAGTAATTATGTTTTGTAATGGGCATAGTTTTGCTAAATGAAAAAAAAATAGATTTTTTTACAGCAGCTAAGTTTATTTAATTATTTCCTTTATTTATTTATAACCATAAGGTTTGTCGACGTTTCGATATATATAATATCATTATCAAGACAGGTGGAATTACATTTTTCTGAGAAAAAGAGAAGTGTATATAGGTCTTACTAATGGCGCATGATATTATATATATCGAAACGTCGACAAACCTTATGGTTATAAATAAATAAAGGAAATAATTAAATAAACTTAGCTGCTGTAAAAAAAATCTATTTTTTTTTCATTTAGCAAAACTATGCCCATTACAAAACATAAACACGCTACAACAAAGAAAAGAAAATTATTATGTAAAATGCTGAGTTACCTGAAATATTCTTCAGTTCTGCAGGTTGAACGATACAAAGCGTTTTCAGATTTACATTTAGATTGAGAAGATTATTTCTATCTAATAATTTACAATAGAGGAAAGAAGGATATACAGTAATCCCTAATATAGATTTATCTGAAATATTGTTAAGGTGGACGACTTGGGCGAAAGAAGCTTTTTGAAAGTTGAATGAAACCTGGAGCGAGTATTTTGATCTAATAATATAAAACAAAGATATAGTTATAGTGTTAAATGTAGAATTACCTGAAATAATGTTGAATGGAATGACTTGAAAGAAATTTAACCCTTTCAGTATAAAATATAACTTGAAATATAAATTCTAGTAATCTATGGCAGAAGAAGAAGCAGATATAATTGTTGTAAGTAAAATTGTCTTATTTGTTCACCTCAAAGATTTGAAGAGCAATATGAGTATTGAATGTAATTTGAGATAAATGTTTGAATTGGGGAATCTAAAACAGAAAAATAAAATTGTTATTCAAAAGATGAAATTACCTGGCAAATAGTTCCGTTGGACAACATGTAAAAAACCAATGGCATTGGCTCTAAATATACATTCGTATAAAAATTGAATTTGAAAAGTCTATATTGGATAGCTGAGATTGACAGTTTTAAGGATAAGCGTACATCAGGGAGGATTGTGATGGCGAACTTAAAAGAAAAGTACTTCAATTTTCCAGTTGGAGGAACCTATTAGAGGTATATTACGAAACGTACAAGGGTTTCATACGAAACTTGACTCAACTTTGACTTTCACAAAAATATAGTACGAAACCTCTGTCACTTCAGAACCTTATAAAACGATCGCACCGAACTTTTTCTAGTACTAAACCTACAAAAGATTTCGCAGGTCCATACCATTACTCTAAGAGTTTAATAAGGTGCCACCAAACGTTAAAGGTTTCGTACAGCACCTTTATTTTTTTCAGTGCATGCTGCTGGTTTTATTAGTTCAGCAAAAAACTATTGTTTAAATGATAATGAAAGTCAATCGAATCTCATGAGTGTATCAATTGATATTGAACCTACCCAGGTCGAACAGTACGGTCTGTATACGGACGTTGACGGTTACTTTACGACTATTTCACGGGCGAAAGTTTGCCGTAATATCTGGCGTAGTAATACGAACCGTATTATCATGAGAGTACAGAGCACAAACAGCCGTAAGCCATGAAAATTCAGTCCCGTTTACGGTACCGTATTACTGCACCAGGTATTACGAGCAAATACGGCCTATTTACTGCCGTAAATATACCGTTTTGACATTGTTTACCGTCGATAAACAGGCCGTAAACGAGTCCGTTTTGATCAACCTGGGTAGCTATTGTTATCAATCTACATCATATTTATCTAATTTTTGCACCAGTACAATCAAGAATCTTATATCATCTTCATTACATTCATTATTTGGATCAAATCCATTTGAAAATTCGTGATCGCTAATTGGCCTTTCTACAAATTTAAAAGTAATAACTACCCTAATCGACTCTCCCCCAACGAGTCCCCGTAAAATAACGAAATTCCTGGGGAGTCCCTGTCGTGAGTCCCCGGGGACTTTTTATTTGGGGGACTCCCCGGGGATTCTTCTAGGGAGAGTTGACTAGGAACGTCACATGAGGCACCTAAACTTTCAGCTTATAATACAAAAGAATTATTTTGCTACTTTTTCTTTTGCAGAATAGAATTCAAATAGGACAAGAACAATTACATGATTAACCAAGAGAAAACCAGAACAACAGACTACAAACACAAGTGCATTATCACCAAGTGCACCAAGTCAAGTTAGATTGATTTTAAACAATCCTAAAAATGAAATTCATTAGAATTTTTTTTAATTAGATTATTGTACGCAAGAAAAAATCATAATACTCCAATATTTTTATCTTTTTTGAAACAATTTCTATTTTTATTTTTGTGTTACTTAATGCACTAACAAACATTTTTATATCATTTATAATTTATAATTTTATATTTTACTTTTATGTTGTTTCAATAATAAAATGAAGTATTTGTTCATAAATTTGATGTTTAAACACTAGCGATAGTCTTGATTCAACCTATAGAAATAAGCTCATTCTCAATTCACACAACTTCTTCATATTGAATACAGGCGGCATGTTCTTGTGGCAGATCAATATTTCATGAATATTGGCAAATAAAGGTTGTGAAAAAAGCGTAGCTGGTGCTACACGTTCATACATTTTCATGTCAGTCTCTCTGGAAACAAGCCTCCTTCAAGCTGCATTCTTAGTAAAATGATATCAGTTAGAAATGAGCTTATTAGAATAATGTTAGGTTTTCCATCCTTGATCATATTATATAAAAATCTTGAGAAAATATTTATAGGGAATAAATAAAAATAGATCTCACTGATGAGAAGTGCATCTGCTATTAATTGCACGGAAGAAACGACTTATGACCGCTCTGACAACATACCAATATGAAAGAATGGTATAGAAAAGGTCGAAACAAAAACTGTCGAAACGAAAAACGTCGAAAAAAAAGGTCGAACTAAAAAATGTCGAAAAAAAACTAACCGAAAGATAAAAATATCGAAAGAAAAAATGTCGAACTTACAAAAATATCGAAAAAGTCGAGAATGATTTAAGTAAACAATTTAGCATTGAATTGTATCCTGCTGACAGCTAGAGTTATTCTATGATATTTTTCTGATTGTCCATTGTACACTCTAAAAAAGGTTCTTCACTCGGGCAGAATTTTTTAAGGTTCTGTGCAAAACCTTGAAACGCTTATCACTAAACCTCAAGGATTGGTACTTTCATACGAAACCTTTTTAAGTTTCGTCGATTGGTACAAAATTTTTTTTGAATTTTTTCGAAACCTTCAAAAAGATTCTTCTCATCAGCCGAGGGAAGAACCCTTTTAGGTTTCGTATTATTTTCTGAACCTTTTTAAGTTCGGTATAGAACTTATCTTTTTTTTTAGAGTATGACACGATGATCTAGAGCGTTCAGATGTTGGCATTGCCGCTAAGAGTGCCCACATCCTCACCCGTACCCTCATGCTCACCCGCACAGTCGCCCTCATCCTCACTCATACGCACATCCATACCCACACTCTCACTCTGATATTCACCCACACTCGTATAGGTCTGATTTTAAACGAGTTCTATTTTTAAAGCATCAATAAAGTTATTTATATTTGAATTTTCAGCATTATTTTTTCGACGTTTTTAGTTTCGACATTTTTTTTGACCTTTTCTATACATACCATATGAAACATATAGAAAGAGAGCAGCAGTAAAATCTCAAGGTGTAATAAAAAAAATATACCGTAGACATCTCAATGCGTTGATTATCATGCATAAAAACTAAAAAGAAAAACCATCACAGCTCTCTAATTGCTATTTCATAGAAAGATAGGAAAAATAATCAAAGCATTTTTTATAATTGAAAATAAACAATTCAGTTCTTTTGTAGCATATAACTAACTATAAAAGGAATTCAATTTGAAAACATAGTATATAACAGTCAGCTTTTGTTTTTCAACCGTTTGAAGATTACCATAAACGTTATTTTCCTGTTTTTGAAAATGTAATCCGGACCAATGTCGATCTTACTCCTTTCGCGCAAAACTACCAACGAAACGTGAACAACAACTAATGCAACACATTACGTATGATATAATCAGTATTACAAATGCAAATTCATATAATGTACGATTACAATAATTGCTTGCTGCTGGATTATCATATTGAACATTCTGTTTAGCTCCAAATATCCATACGTTACCCTATGCACGATTAGAAAATGTTGCAATCAAAATAAATTCTTCTTTAATACTTACCACTATGAACCAAATAAACAAAAAGAAACTCATTAAAGATATAAACATCATAATAATAATCGTGATACACCCCATGGCAAATGTTCCAACTATTGATTGTCGTTGAATGACAAATATAAATCCAGCAACCTAAAAATTCATTGAGCATGATTAGTGAATAACAAAAGCGATCAAATTATATCTTACCAAGACTAATGTAAGAATAATGGTGGCCATACCACATGCACCTGTGACAATAAGATAGACTGGAATATTAGAATTAATTGTACATTGATCACGATATGAAGCACCAATAGCTAATTCAAGTATCGGAATCACAAGTAGAAGACAAAGTAAAACTAAACAATACGTTGAACCAAGTACTACCATTAAAGATTTTGGAATTAAATCCAATGGCAGCTTTTCTTCAGTATTGGTCTTAGATGGTTGCCCTCGTGCTGCTTCTATGTCAGCCATATTTCTTAATCTCGATTCACGACGAAGTGAGTTGTGATGAAGTAGAATATAAATGTTAGTTATATACTGATTATTATGTCTCTCCTGTTGCTCTACTGAAATAAAGGAATATGCTGTGAATGGGTAGTATAAAAAAGTTTGTAAAATAAAGCGAAAAAAGAAAGAAAATAACGAAACTGTGATTGCCAACTGATCTGAGTAAAAAATATGTTTACGTAGTTCTCTTTTTCTCCTTCTTTAGTCGATTAGTTGTTGCCAGCGCTTCATGTTTTGAGGTAATTTAAATAGCCTGGATGATTCATTTTGTAAGAATTTTATTTGCAAAAATTTCTTTCTTTTTTCTTTACCGATGCTAACAAAAATATTAAGTTACTTCTTTGATTTTTTGTTAGTCAAGAAAAATCATGGACGAATGAATAATGCATCTTTATTTTGAACTAATCATAGATTGTTTTCATTTTGTATTGGTTAAATTAGATTTTTAAAATCTCGGAAGCAATGTTAAAAATGTTTGACGACATGAAACAAAAAGTACATATATATGAATAATGCAATGATTGTGTTGAAAATTTGTAATTTTTCTTAAAAAATTATTCATTTGCTCTCTTCTTTAATGCGTCCCCGAAGCATAGAAAATAGGTCAAATTATGTTGTTCTGGACAAAGTTTAAAAAACAAAAACTTCATGTCATAGAGACCTCATGTATAAGAATGAACTGTGAGCGATATAGAGAAAACGAAAAGAAATAATTAATATGTGCTAGTATGAACTGTACAGTGTATACTCAATGTTAATAATACCATTAATTTCGTTTCTCAATATAAATAAAACAATATTTTCTCATTAGGCTTCAATTTTTTATTTACTTTGGGACACAAAAAACTAACGTAAAGCTCTACAAAAATAAGTTCCAATCAAAAATAATTTTCAAAGGTAACGTATTCTATCAGCGGATAGAAATCTAGAAATCTATTTTAAGCAGTTCGTTCCATAGATTTACATGTATATTTTTTGTTCGAATGGTTTGAAAAATATAAGGATCATAGTATTGAAAGAAATAGTCATTTTGGATAAGATTCAAAGGTAGATGATTACTATTTGCAAATGTGATGACATCATCTACATTTTTTTTCTAGTCAATAATAAATGTTCTTCAATCATGTATCATCTTTATTCGTTCATCATCTTTACTTTATTTGCTTTTGTACATGCAAGCAAACACTACCCCGCAATATCGCTTTAGAAGAAGAAAAAAAATGAAACGAACAAGAAATAAGAAAAAGAGGTGGCACATAGTTTTAATCGATTTCCAAAATAGAACAGTATTCAATCTATGATTGAACGATAATGTTTTCTCGTGCTCGTAAACCATCATCATCATTATCATCATCGACAATTAGTAGTAATACAACATTTTCATCGGATAATTTTTATATACGTACTCGATCAACACCGCGACCAGTGATTTTACGTCATTTAAATGTATGTGATCTCGATGGCATCAATTCAACGGATTTTATTTATCAACGTCAGATGCAACGAGAACCGTTTCGTATTCCAAGACCAATTCTTACTATACCACGACCAACAATACACCTACCAACAGATGATTCATTCTGGGCACCCACTTCACGACCAATACGTGCTCATCAATCATCTTCGTCATCAAGTCCATTCTCAATATCATGTTATTCTCAACGGCCAATCTATCAAAATTTACTACTAGAACCGTTACATACTCATCTACCTTCTCCTCAACCTCCACCTCCTCTTCCGCCACCGATTCCTATACAATATCAAACTGGTCCGCCTCCTTTTCAACGATATACACGAATTCCTATTGTTCACCCTATCAAACAAAAAAAATATTCATGTGAAAGACCTCCGGGTTTATTTACAACTCTATGCGCCGGTGGTTTAAATACTGTTGCAGCATTTATTTATTTATGCTTCCTTCTTGCTCTACCTATTACCAAACTTGTACTAGGTATTCTTTATGTAAATGAATGTCCTGTAAATAAGAATATTCCATTGTATATGATTATCTCTGGTGCTTGTGGTTTAGCTATTGTTGTTTTAATTTTTTTTACATCGGCTTGTACATATTGTCGATCGATGTTGAATGCACGAAAACAAACTCATGGTTTTATCATATTTATTATTGCATTTACTCGTGCAGTACGTGGTGCTCTAGCAATATTTCTTTTCATTTGGTTTTTATTCGGTAATATTTGGGTATTTAATGCAAGATATCGTGTTCGAACAGATAAACCAAATGATACAAATAATTATTGTCATGCAACACTCTATTGGTTTGCATTTTATGTTTTAATTTTTACTTATGTCTATGCAATTTGCACTTGCTTTCTTAAGTTTTGCGTGAACTTTTTTTGTTGTGGTATATGTGATGGATTTTATAAAGCATTTTCATAGAATGTTTGCTAGATAAGTAAAAAAAAAGGGCACAAATTAAAATCTGTATAATCACTATATAATTGATTATTTTTCTTTTAATGATTATATATGTATTAAGCATATAAATAGCTAGAACAATTAATATGACAAAAATATTGATGGAAAAACATTTCTTAATTGGTTTATCGCTCAAACTAACTGCATTTACATATAAGACTAAAGAGTGAATGAGTGAGAGAAAAAGACGTTGCTCACTTGTCACCAAAAAAAAACTATGGTGACGATAAATGCATATAACCTACCTATTGAACAATTGAGACAATGAACAGAAAGATGAAACGAGGTCGACATACATTCATTTAAACTAATGTGTACAGTAAATATTAAAAAAAGAAAAGGTAACCGACATTCGACGAAATACTTGACTGATAAAAATCTATGTTCATTAATAGGCAGACAGTGACGTCAAGAAACTCTTTTCAAATTATGAAACGCATAATAGTTCATTGTGTTTATTACGTTAAGTAAGATACGTTAAGTGGGAGAGAGAATTTATAAGAACTAATTTTATTTTTTGATTTCTTTATCATTGAACACCAACAATAGCGCATGATCTGTGCATATCATAAGCCCTTTTTAGTGCTTTAGTTGGTGATGATCTAATGTGCAGTACCTATCTCATTGAGCCAGTGAGTATTACAAGAGAAAATATAGACATGTTGCATTACTCAACATATTCATCATAGAGATACGATAGGAGATGAAAGCTAGTTCGGAGTACAAGGATCTTTTTTTGTGGTAATAGAATCGATGAATATGATACTGCTTCTGACATCACTGTCCTTCGGATTCTTGAAAAATGTATCTTCTGTTCATCAGCTACACATCAGAACGGAGAGGATATTACATATGGCAAACATACAATGATACTTGATATTTCTGTCAGCGAGCCAAACTACTTGTCACAATATGCATCATCTATTTGAGTTTATTCGATTTTTTTTTATTTTTCTTTCATTTTTCTTCTTCCCTCTTTTCCTTCATACTTATGTGTACCTTCATTGATTGCATTACATAAGCAGACTATGAATTATATAAATATATATGTGCTCTTCACTATATATGAATGGATCTTATTATATATATATATCCACTTGCACTTCTTTACGGGTAAAAGGGTATATATATATTGTATATGCATAGTAGTAGATCCAAAAAATAAAAGAGATCTTTTTTTCTTCCTTTTTCTTATGTATCCAGATAAGCACTACATAGTACAGTTTATTCTACAATATATAATCATGGTTTATTTGCTCGTGGTTCTTTCGGAGATGTATGCCCTTTTTCGTTCTTTATTCATTATCATTTTTATTCATCCTTCGAGATGTTGATTAGAATACAAACTGGTCAATTGTAAAGTCGACCTACTGCTCTCGTTTCTTTTTTTTTGTCTCGTTGTTTGATGAATCAATAGCGAAACAATTTTCACTAATATACAGAGGTACTAATGCTTTTTATTTGTTACTATTTCTACTTCTCTTGCTGTTCAATGTTAAGAGAAAGGAAGAGAACAAAATAAAATAAAACCAAAGAAAGAGAGAAAGAAAGAAAAGAAGAAATTTTGAGTTTTGTTCAATGTCGTTGTCCACATCGAACCGCCCTTTATTATTCAACATTAGTAAAGTAATTACATCACAATCACTGAACAGAACGCAAGTCAGTTATATTCTTCCATATAACGACCCAAATAATCACGCGTGCTCTCTTCATATTATTGTGTGAATGGGGACGTTTTCGTGCATTTACTTGACATGCTTATTTGAGATGCATATTACTATCAGCATATATCGTCTAGACATTAGAGTATATACGTGTATTATCAAACAGTTATCATAACTTGTTCAAATTCATTGTTTTAGATTGATTAATTGTCTTTTTCATTGATCAATGGCACAGTATTTGAGTTTTATTCTGAAAAATGATACGACATTACTTTCTCAAGGTATCGATGAGAATTTATTTGGCGAAGAAAATGATAGTAAGCATTAAGATTTATATACATCTATTTATTTTTATTATTTCGTGACTTGTTTTTTTTTCAAAACATTAGATATATATGATGGTAATGATTTACATTACAAAATTCCATTTTGGATTGGTGCTATTGTAATTAGTCTCCTTCTTTTATCAATCATCATTGCAACAATACGTTATTGCTTTTATGCGTTATGTTCATCGCACATAGGTAAGTTGATTTTAAACTGTCAGAAATAGATATTTCATTTACTTGTCATTTACTTTCCATGTTACATCATAACCGAGCAAAAAAAATAAAGAATATCTTATTATAAACGACTTCATCTGTGATTTGAAGAAAAAAACGATGAATTAATAGTTTTAAATAATATGGCTTTGTTCAGTTCGTATGTTTGTATGAATAGCTATGCAAAAATGTTTTTGAATACTTCTAAATTAACATCGAATTAAACCTATAAAATGATATTTATGTGTCTATGACTGAAGAGTAAACAGTTCATGTGTACAAACGTATCGAATTACATTCATGAATGATAGTGTTAGATTTATAATGTCATATGAATTACAATGAATAAGAAAAACAAAAGATTAATATCGCTGCCTTAAAGATTAGCCTGAAATAGAATTCTTGAGCTAAGTTATTGACGAAGAAAATCTTTTGAATTGACTCCGGATTGTGATTTTGTAAATTTTACACTCGAAGGACTACATATAAACGTTACAACATACCTATCATGCTACATAAGTGGTAATCAACGGAGAGAGAAACATTTGTTATTGACCCTAATGAGCAATATCATCATACTAGATATATTAGCTATTTATATTTATTTAGAAACAGAAAAAATAGCATTAATGCCAGCAAAATCACCATGTTCTTCCTCAAATGTTCCCATTAAAATTCAACGTCAAACAAGTAAACTACCTGATCGAATTCTTTATAATTTATCAGATGAGAATGACACATCATTATCCTCTATTGAACAATCACAAGATCAAGAGTCAGCAATTACTATTATACCAATCAATCGCCATCATTCTCGATCACATTTGACATCGTCACGACGACATCACAAAACTGACGATGTTGATCATACAAAAAATGATTATTTTTCACCAAAACAAATATCAACTTCTCAAATCTCGATCGATTTTCGAAAAAGAATTAACGGGATTTATGTTTTACCTGTTTCACCTACTCTTTCTTCTCCATCATCATCAACAATAAATCCAGATGAAATTAAAAAAATTGGTTCGAAAACAATCCCTAGTCGATCTGGAAAAAGTTCTTCATCGTCAGCAGATATTCATCATGATTTTGAATTTAGTGGAATTCAAAATAATTCTTTTACTGATTCGCCAAAATCAAACGATCGTATATTACGATTTATTGAACCACCTTTGCAACCTCCACCATTACCACCAATAATTTCACAGACAAATCTCTATCACAATAACAAATCATCATCATCATCATCATCAAAACAACATTCAGCTGCCGTAGATCTGAAACTCAATATAAACACGCTTCCGTTGAATACTTTTGAAGAAAATAAAATGAAAAGAACTTCAGCGCCACCTGTAGCTTGTCGAACACGAAAACCTTTACAATTATCAGTCGGATTAGATGAACTCACAAATCAATCAAATGAAAATAATTTTCGATTAACATTAGAGCCATCTCCACAAGATGACTGTTCAGAACGTACATGGCCACAACCACCTGAATCTTTGACAACATCAATTATCAGTCGACCATCTTCAATATCCTACGATCATTTAATTCCTACAATAATTATGCATCAAAATAGTACGACAAATCGTTTTCATCGACATCAACATGATGCAGATATAATACTAACAGAATCAGAAACATAGTAGAATATTTATGTATTTTTCATCTATTTGTTTTTCTCTCGGATTTAAATTGCTGTTGTTAAATAACAGTATTGTACAGTTTTATTTATGAATTTTAAGTTCATATTTAGTCTATTTAAATGAATTATACTAATAAAAAGAAAACAATGAATATGAAATGAGTTTCAATGGAACATGAATAAATGATAGTACAAACTTTTTTTTATGATTGAAAACTGAGAGTTCTTTTACTAGAATCGAGGTTAACTTTTATAAAAGATGATAAATACTGAATGGCAAATTATATAGTAGTATTCAAGTAATATGTTCGAAAAGATTAGTGTCCAAAACGAAAAAATATTCTGCATTTCTATTGAAAAGGAAACTGCATAGTTTTATTCATAAGGGCTAGCACTACCAACATTCGTATAGAATTTCGCTTTTTTCTCTGATTACTACTTATAGAACGCTCTAAAGTATACTAAACCAATCCTTGATGACTGCGCGTATCTTCAATATTGAAACTGAACGAAATCGGAATTGCCTATTTTATACACGATGAATAAACAGGAAGTAGATAAATAATGTTGCATAAATCGAAATATTAAAGATTCATAGAGACGTACGGTGTAACTAAACGTTTCTAAACATGTTTTTTACTTGACTAATTATATTTATATCTGAGAAAAGTATTCTCATAAAAAAAATTATATTTAACATGCACAATCTGAAGGTAAACGCTTGTTGACTGATGATTTCATCTACGAACAGTACAGCAGCACGCTCTATACACATACGAAAGCGTTGAGATGATGTCAAGAGAATTTCATGAATTTGATCAATAATCACAAATGACCATCAAGAACTTCTAATCTCAATACACGGGATAAAGTTGAAAAGGTCACTTCGTTGATTGATGTATTATAAAAACAAAATCAACTTGTTTGAACAGAATGTCACAGAATTTTTGAAAACTAGGACGTATCAATGGAATAAGTTTTTAAATTGTGAAGCTTTTCACACTATATCTTCTAGTATATATCGTTTGTTTTTTGCATACAAGGTTAGACACAATACAACATAAAAATGAACCATTCATTATAATGTATTTCCTCGTCCATGAAAACATTTATTGAGAATTTTCTTTTCTTTTAAATAGAAAAATCTCGGTTTCAATTAATGTTTATGCTTTCTTTATTAACATTCAACCAACAATAGAAGAGGTGAATTTTTTCTTGAATTATTCACAGAATCTGAATGAGAATTATTTCAGAATAAAAAAAGTCAACAGAAAAAGAGAAGTATCCTTCGAAAGTACCCGTATATATCAAATTGCAAGATGATATACTAAAAAGTTTGATCCTCCTTTTATTAGTGTGAGAACCAACACTGAGCTTTGATTATTTTTCAGAAGTTTATTTTTCATTTTATCACCATTGCATTTGTACAGCTTCTGCTATCTCTCAGTTATCAAAAAAAGACATTGTACGAAATGCCATACTCCTTGGTAAAAAGAAACCTGCACATAATTTTATTAGCTTGAAAATCATCATTGAATTTGGGTTATTTTCCACAATTTTGTTGTGTATTTTTATAGAAACTTAATTCCCCCTCAAGGGTCGAAAAACCTTTTTGTGTACTCAAAAAGTGAGTACACTCTAAAATCGGTCAGAGTACCCGTCCGTCCGGAGGCACGATAATTTTCGAAAGGAGAGTCAGATCGTGATGAAATTTTCCACACCGTTCAATCTCATGAATATCTCGGTCGAGTTCGAAGATGAAAAGAATCCCTCAACAAATGGTTGAGTTATCGAAAAAATTGTGATTTGTGACCAGACTATCCCTGAGGAAGGGATACAGGGATTTCTTTTCAAAAAACAATATTTTCTCAGAATCATTCACAACATATATAAATCGACTCAGTTTTTAACGCTGATTCCGAATCTGATATTAGTTTTGAACTAAATCGTAGTTTTTTAACGAAACATTGCCTGAAAAACGTCTCAAAATGCACACTTCATAAAATTGAGAATAGCATTATTTCTAACAGCATGACGCAATCGAGGCGGTATTTGGAATTTATTGAGAGAAAAAAGATTGAATATCTAAGTCTTTCTTATATATTCTGATAGAAAAACACATTGTGTATCGAGCGGACTTATTTTCAAACAGTATAAATCGACTATTCATGGATCTTTAGGTCAGTAACTGTTTTTTTAGGGCCCCAAGAGAGTGCTTCAGATCTTTCTTAGTATCCAATGAATTTTAAAATTTTAAATGATATTTGTGATCAGGGAACTTAACTTTATTGAAATATAACTACTTGCACTAAAATCTGAACAAAACGTTTTTTCGATCCTTGAGGGGTACCCCAGATGTTAAAAATTGAGTTTTCATAAAATACACAATCAACTCGTGGAAAATAATTCAAATTCAATGATGATTCTCAAGCTAATAAAGTTAGGTGTAGATTTTCTGTGAAGTCAGGTTCCTAATTTGGCACACCCCTTTTTTGATCGTGCAATTAGTGTATTCACCAAGATCGAGGGAGAACAATCAGTTTAACAGAAAATGTTGTCGTCCTGTCGTATACCACTCCTTTATTTTACTGTTCCTTTTTCACAACTACAAACATCCTTAGCATGTTTCAGCATCTCTAACACCTGTCCAGCACCTTCGGCACTTTCTCCCTTGATGTATATAGATAGATTTTTAATAAAGAATAATTGATGAGAATCTCACTTATCAATTATACTTAGAAAATATGTCAACTGAAAACGGATGTTCCACATGGTTTCATTTAATTAACAACTAAACACTTTCAAATTATTGTTTCTCGGGCAGTTCTAGTTAGAAAATCACATTACTTACTTGTTTTTATTCCAATTTAATGCGCTTTTGTTGTTGTTTAAATGAAATTCAACAAAGAAATGAGTAGGCCTAATATAAAAAATGAAGAAACACTGATTCAGTTAAACATTCATTTGTCTACATCGAGATAGGAGTTTTTAAAAATCAGAAAAAAAATTAAAACGACAGGTCTACTTGACTTGTTGAGATGAAATTTTTCATAGCGAGTATCTGTCGTGGGTGAAAGTTTTTGCTAGGTTTTCACATCACATTATTTTTCTTTCAATGTATTTATCGGAAGAAAACATAATCTGTGTGACTGAAAGACGCTCTGATAAATGAAACTTTTCTAAGGATAGTTTTCTATGAAGTCTCATAGTATATCAAAGCATCATCTCTGTATGCGTGTGAAGAAAGTCTATTTAGTATGACATAAGATATGTAAGACAAGCTTCTTAAACTAGGTAAAATGCTTGAAAAGTATCTCTAGCGACTTTGTCTTTATGATCAAGTATCGTCATGATTACAAAAATCTTCTTTCGCTCAAATACGTAATTAAACGCCGAAAAGGTAAATGTCGAAAATTGAGTTTTTTGATAATTTTAAAGAAAAATAAAAATTTGGGTGTGGGTGTGAGTGTCAGTAATCATAATTAACTATGTTTTATTCTCACGTTTTTTAGAAGAACTCTATGATCATTTTTATGCGCTTGATAAGAACGTATTTATTTTCCTCTAGTCAAATAATTATATATTTTCAGTAACTTTATCACATATTCATTCCTTAAATCAAACGAATAATTGATTGTAAATATATTTTAGTTTATTTCAGTGAGTATCCCTGGTTATGATGGTCCAAAAAAAGATCATTCAGGACCAGCTGCATGCCAAGGCATGTAGTTTTTATCTTTTAAATGTTAAGCTGATCTAGTTTATTTCTTAATTCTAGGAAGCATTGTTCAAATTTATTACACCAGAAGTATGTGTGCTTGCAATTTTTTTATTTAATAGACTCATTTTTACTTCAGGCGACGAATTAAGTTACTACAAAAGAAATTCCTGACCCAGCACACACAATGGTTGCGAAGTCACTAGCAATTACTCACATGGCAATGCTTTTGAGGTGAAATTCATTCTGTCTTTTCTATCTAGGCCAGTAGTAGTAGTAGCAGTAAAGGTTGTGTAGTGCGTATTAAATCTTATTCTGTCTTACATAAGCTAAGTTATCTTTCGTCCCGTTGAAGGGATGCTTAGATTTTGTTTATTCAGTTCTACGACATGCAACATATTTGATTCAAAATCGACGTGCTGAAATAGCTATGGCATACTAATATGCTAATCAAATGTTAGATAGTTGATTAGTTGTCTACAATGTGAATAGTGAACGTTTAGATGCTGGAGAAGAAAATGTGAATTCAACATCTTTTAATTCAGACTAATATATCCAAGGGGGAAAAACTCATTCGGGCATTCCCCGCCATCTCCAGTCATTCCAATATATTCCTAACTATTCTAAAATTTTCTCAAATAGGGTTGGGCCATTTTTCTAAATGAAACTTTGAAGTAGTGTCAATTAACATGAAACTTAAGATGTTTTTTCTTCTTAACACTTCACATTTGTAATTTATTTCTAATTGATGATATTAAACTTAATTTTATATTAATGTAAATGGTCTACCCCTACTCTCACGTAGTGTTATTTTTCATAAATTACTGTATCTGTCTTTAGTACCTTGTCATTTTCTAACGGTTATAACTTTTCATTGAAGTCGATTTACATAATGTTAAACTTAGTTAACGCTTATTCACAATTAGTGGTATTAATCATAGAAAACTACGCATTATCCGAATTCAAGTACATAAATAATATGGATGAAATGGAAAAAAATCATTTGAGATGTGGAGTACTTTTATTCTAAACGTACAGCAGGGATTTTATCCCTAGGTCCCCGAAAAATATTTTGTTTTTCTTGAGCAAAGTGATTGTATCTTTTTGATGATCAATCACTTAAGTCATTGAAAGTCTTGCTCTCATCTAACCTCGGCAGTCTGCGATATTCGTGACTCCGAATTATTCTAAATCATCCCCATTTGTACATACTGAATGATTATTTTGTTATAATATTCAAGTAACTTTCAAGGATAAGAAAAATCATATAAACCAGACTAGTTACAGAAATGGTTTACATTCAATTTGATTTCAATAGCATTCAGTGAATTCGAAAAAAAGATACATTTAGTAGTAGTAGTATTTAAATAATCACCTAGCTGAGCGACCAGTCGAATTCTTTACTATCTGTTTTCGTTTATGCTTGGAATCAATTTTCTAAACAGTTTGTCCAGTTTGTTCTTGGCAATAACTAATATATCTATGTATGCATATTCAATCGAAAAAGTACATTTTTGTGAAAGTATACTGACTATAGTGAGTTTCCCAAGATGAGCCCCACGGATTCCAATGAACTTTCGTCCATGATACTGCACGATGTTATAGTAAAAATAGCAAAAGACTTTGAATGCATAGCACTTTCTTGAAAAATTATGTTCATTTTCAGGGTGTGAGTATATATTAAGAGAATACACACCCACATCCCACACCCTCGACAATAACGACAATCATGTTTCTAATGAATTTTAAAGTTTTTGCATATTTTGAACTACTTCAAGACACTAATTCCTAGCTATTAATTGAAAGCCATTCCGAACAATTCGAATGACTCGGACTGAGATTTTCCCCCTTGAATATATCACTTGTGGAAGGTCAATGTTTAGGTGGTAAATTACCCGATACTGCTAATGTTACTATTCAAATTGGTGGTACACAAGTTCATGAACGATATGCAACTAAACAAAATGATTTCGATGAAAAAAAAGTATTCGTATTATTTCTAAATGTTCATTGGATCAAGATATTAGGTTCTGTATAGAGATATTGACGATGATATTCAAATGAGTGAATTTGCTTTACAAAACAACGTTCCTTTGGAACTTGCTGACCTAAGTATACGTAGTACAGTTGGACCATGAACAATACATGTTTATGATAAACTATGTGTAGTCATTCTTTCAAATAAGTGATAGTAATAGAATCATGCACTATGAGTGCATTAAAAGATTTAAATGTAAAACATGCTGTTTACTTTCAGTGTGGCATTATATATAATACGTAGCTTTGATTCGTATTCCATATCGTTTTAAACAGCTATTTCGAGAATTTATTCTAATGAAAAATCGGTTATTCAAACATTACAATCTTATCATCCAATAATTCATGTGCAAGTATATATATATACTTGAATTAACATACGAAACTTTTTATTTGATCATTTAGTTTAATCAACTCATTAACTATCTTGATCCACGACTTGAATATATTCGTGTCATTATTATTGAATGGTCAACAAAATTCTCAATTTCCATAGCACGCACTGTTTCACCAGATAATCAATATAGTTCACGTTTACTCAACGCTCGGCGTTGTGAAAATTTCGATGATTAATTCAAATCTTTTGTTTGGAACTAGATATGGATTTGAAATTTTCTCTATGGAAAGAGCACTGAAAGATGTACCGCTCCTAAAACGTTCAGCTGTCAACATTATTGCGTTTGATCAGAACCATCCTCTCAAAAACTGGGTTTTTCAGAAAAAGCTATCTCCCAAGAAATGGATCTCCTTGGAAGCTGATATGTAGAAACTAGAAGTATTCTCACTACGCTACAACCCTGCGAAAAAACTAGCGTGGCATCTCAAAGAATGACCCTAGGAGACTTATCAAAATATACCAAAAGATGCCCTAATCGACTCTCCCCCAACGATTCCCCGGGGAGTCCCCGTAAAATAACGAAATCTCTGGGGAGTCCCTGTCGTGAGTCCCCGGGGACTTTTTATTTGGGGGACTCCCCGGGGATTTCTCTGGGGAGAATTGATGAAATTTTTTAAAATAAAAAAAAACTTTCATTTTTTTAATTTTTAAAAAATTAAGAAGAATTTATTAGTAATTAGATATTTCTTCGATTTTGACCAGATAACTCCCTGGGGAGTCCCCAGGGAGTCCCCGCAAAAGAACGAAATCCCTAGGGACTCACGACAGGGAGTCCCCGGGGATTTGTCAGGGGACTCCCTGGGGATTCTTCTGGGGAGAGTTGACTAGGGTGGGCTTTTTTCTATAGGCACTGTCCCCAGGTTAGCTTAGGAATTGCTCGAAGAGTTGTATTATATAAGATACATTCTACTTAGTTAAAATTAGCATATGATCCTCTATTAGTTTCATGAAAAATATTCTTTAAAAATGAAAAAAAGAAAATCTTTCGAAAAATTGCCCTAGCGGACTAAGGGAAGCTCAACGAATGTAAATTGATCTCAAGAGACCTGGAGGGGAGAAGTAGGGAAATTCTTCCAAAAATGTTTCTTTTTTCATATATTGAGTAATTCATAAAATCCCAACAATTCAATAATTTAAAACGAAAATGTTTTGGTAAATAGCACTTACCGAGATATATGTCGCTGAAGCATTTCAGCTCAATTAGTTGAGTTGTTCTTGAGATAGAACTCCAATAGGATTCGCTTTCTAGATATCGTGAATGGTAGAAATTTTCGTATAATGCTCATAAAAAAGCTCGTGATTAATATTTTTTTAAACGGTTTGCGTCAAAATTCTTAGAACTCTTCCCTTTACAGCATATTTTTAATTGAGCGCAACATGACGACCTCGATTGAATCGCTTCTGTGTGAATCCGTCGTGACTTATATGGACTGGCTCATGTGTAGCAGTGATCGAAGAAAAAATGATGCTAGAAGAATAAAATGCATTCGATAGTATAACACTAATTCGTAGATTGATATCGTTTTTTCACTTAATTTTGGTGTTTTCAAATAAGAATACTGATTGTCCAATTCACTCTAGGTTAATTAACTGGATATCCAGTAGTGTTTGGCACCCAATCGGACTGATGTTCAGTGATTGAGTCGCGACTGGAGGGTGCATCGCTACTCTCACGAAAGCGGTTGAAATTAGCTGAAATCAAATGAAATCACGTTTTAATTTCGGAAATCAGAAATCACGAAATCAGTTTGTTCCCCCTTGTAACAATCATTAAAAAAAAAAGAATTAACCGAATGATTTTAATGCCAAACTGCATCGTATATCATATTTTTACGACATTTATCTATCTGTGTACCGTTATGACAATAAATTAAACATTGAAAAAACAATGAAGTTTTTTTTAGATGGAGCAGGAAATAAAAAAATATTAGACAGGTGGCTAATTGATGCATAAGAAAATTTTTCTATTCTTGACATTGAAATAATGAGTTTGATTCTAAAATCTAAATGCATGAAAGTCAAAGAAATGATTGTTTGTTTAGTGACGACTTTTTGGAACTTTTCAGATGAGGTGTATAATTATGATCGAAACAAATTAAGTATTTCTAGTTGAATTTTTTTCTAAAAATTCAAGCAAACACATTATACTTTTTATCTGTTCAGATGTAATTATTTCTACTTCAGGCTGCTGCAGACAAAGTTAGCCTACATTAATTTATAGTATACATAAAAGTGTAGTATTCTTATAATAACAACCTTTAATTATATTTTCCTACGTAAGCATAGAACTAAAACATAAATATTGAAGGATCATAACATTCTATTTTGTTTTTCATTCTAATTCCATTATACTAAGAATATTAAAAATTGTATATTGATTGAAGATCTTTGATGTACCAGAAGTACAAATAGCAAACGTATGTGAATAGATATGATTACAATCAGCAGGATATATATTTTTAGATAGTGCAACACAAGCTCCGTTGTCATCGAAGTATTTATAAAATAAATGAATAGAAAAAAACTATTGTTTTTTATATCATTTTACTATGATAAAAAAAACAATCAATTTCATATATAAACTAGTGTGAAGTTTACTATAAAACTTTCACATTAGTCTTTTCTGATTGAGGGCAAAAAATGGTAAATGTAAATAAAAGTTGATACGACATAAAACGATATCAAGTGACTGTTTGCTTAGATTTGTCCGTTCTTCTATATGACTGTCAGAATTTCATTTATTTTTCAGCTCATGTTGATAATTCAAAATTCAGATACGTAGAAGGATAACGAAGAACATTCATTAGCTATAAAAAAAACAAATGAGGAAACATCGGATTCGCATCCGATTGTTACGTGTAATGCAAAAAATGAGTCGATTTATATATGTTTTGAATAATTCTGAGAAAAATTTGTTTTTGAAAACATCCCTGTACCCCCCCTCCGTCAGGAATGGTCTGGTCAATAATGACAATTTTTTCGATAACTCAACCATTTCTTGACGGATCCTTCTCATCTTCGAACTTGACTGAGATATTGATGAGATCATTCTGTGTACAAAATTTCATGACAATCTGATCAGCCTTTCAAGAGTTATTGTGTAAACGGCCGGACGGACACACTGACCGATTCTATAGTGTACTCACTTTTTTTTTGAGTACACAAAAAAGATTAAATCAACAACCTAAAAGCTAATTACTTTGTTGCAAAATATGATGTAAAACATCCATTGCACCAGTTATCAATGTTAATGTCGAACATAATTCAAAATATAGATCAAATGTATGTTCTATATCCTAGATCCTTTGTGATCCAACAAATCTTTCTTAACTATACTTAAATTCATCTTAAAATGAATGAATCCTTATCTTATCAAGTAATGAAGTTATGTAGGGACTTCGATCAAAACGTAAGCATACTAATCCATGAGTTAAATTTGAAATAATTTCAAGAAACATCGTCATTTGTTCCAGTGCTGATTTACAAACACTTGCATCTATTATTTTATTACGATCAGTGAATATAGTATGCACTAGAAGAAAACTTCACCATCATTTCGTTGAACGTGTAGGCAACGATTTGCCAAAACTTCAAAGATAAACAACACATTGACGATAACTTGTTTTTCAAACACTAAATAAAAATACATTGACCAATGAATCATGTTTTGGATTCAACAAAAGTTATTTTTCTACTTTTAACTGTCGTAAAAGTATTGCAATATTCATTTGATACACATTTCGATTTATTTGTTGAACTGAAATCGGAAAAATTTCAACTTTCTCTACATTTTTGAACAAACATTAATAAATCATTTAACTAATTCTAAATCGAAAATAAATTAAACAATTTGCTTCACTGCTTTTCTTATTCAATTATTTATTTGACTTCTATTTTCATTCATATTTAAAATCTGATAAGCAGCTAAAGATGAACAACAAATATCTTTGTCAAGTTTTTTTCAGCTTTGGATCAACTATCTATTAAAATAAATTCTGTAGAAACAAAAAATACCTTCTCAGATCGTTCTAAGAACATGTAAACTATGAATATAGATTGTTTAACTTTGAAATGTATCATTGATTGTTAATTGTGGTTTAATTAATGAATGTAATCGACAGAATAATGCTCAAACTAAAACATAAAGAAAATTCCATGTTTTCATATCATACATTCATTGTTGAGCATAGAGTTATGTTTGACAAATAGATCTAATGTTTCGATAATAGAGCATAACAGAAATCCAATATATCAAATGATGATGGTTGATCAGTTGGTGGAGATTCATCGTATTTTAAAGACTTAGAAAATATGAATTATATAATCATTATTAAATCTAATTTTTCTGTTTAATGAATTTGTGAAAATATATCGAACTTGATATTTTAAAACTAATATATTGTCATGAGATTACTCTACACCTTTTTCTATTCGTTTGGTCGAAGAATGAAAGCATAACCTCAAATTTAATTTTAATTGATTTTATGTGAGAATAGGAATTTTTCTTTAAGANTGTGAAAATATATCGAACTTGATATTTTAAAACTAATATATTGTCATGAAATTACTCTACACCTTTTTCTATTCGTTTGGTCGAAGAATGAAAGCATAACCTCAAATTTAATTTTAATTGATTCAATGTGAGAATAGGAATTTTTCTTTAAGAATAGAAATGAATTATTTAATCGATTAAAAATAGTCTATATATGTAACAATATTATTCAGATCTAATTAAATCAAAACGAACTGCTTAAAATGCCATAGAAAAAATAGTATTTATTTTTCCATCATTTTTTCTAAGTTAACAAAAAGAAAACGATTCAATCGTTAATAAATTAAGGAGAAATCATTCATAAAAGTAATAAGATTACAATTGTTTTCAACTACTCGACTAAATACATTTACAAACAGCTGCTATTTTCTTTTTTTTAAAGTGGCAATGATCAATATTTTTATTGAAGATGATCCCACTAATATTCATCACTATTTCATCAAATTTTACAGTAAAATATTGCTCTAATGGATCGAAATATGTTGCATATTATCGGCACAATTTTTTGATGGTAACTAATAAAAAGAAATATCAAATCTGTCAAAACGTTTGGCATAGATTCTGAAAGTGTCTATTTAGATAGTTTTCATATATCAGTCTGATTTAAATAGAGTAACAGATGAATTCATTAATGGTAAATATTATCAATAGTGATCGTTAGAAATTACTTGTTGAGTAAAATATAATGATGTAGAGACAGTGAATTTTCGTTTCTTTTTATCTTTTCGTCAGTGAACACATGTAAGTGTTAACTGAAAAATAGAGTAAAATAATTTCATCGTTTCAATTGCACAGAGACTAATATTATTTATTCTTATGATTCACAATAATGATTTGAAAAGATCTTCGATAATCAAAAATTCACGAATAAAAGAAAATATCTTCTTTGATACTTTCAATAATGAACATAATTGAAAAACATATTTTCAAAATGTTTATTCATTAAAAAACATAGAATAAAACAGAGAATAATGTTCAAACTGAAAACAATTGAAAATTGCCATTGTGATCGATTCCGATAGATAGGCCTATTATGATTCTTTCATTCTGCACAGGTGCAGATGAAACACAAACGATCAATTAGTCGAGTATACGTCAATATGTTACTGTATGACATAATTGATTTATCTCGATGATGATGATAACTACTAATTATAGCACTGTCACATTGTTGATCAATCATCCAAAGTGCAATTGATAGATAATATCAATTGTCTATTTCAATTCACCAAAAAATGACTATAAATAGTTACAACTTTCAACGTAAAGTATCATTCCCTCTTATCTTCTTCTTCTTTTATAATAATATTATGTATATATATTTTATTTTTTAACTATTTTAGCTTCTATTCATACTGGCTATTGATCAACATCACGGGTAAGTATAGTTTTAGTTCTTTTAATTTTATTTTTTCTTTGTCTCAGCTTTTTACCCCATTTATTTATTTTAATTTTATATGATTATAATTCTATTTTATTTTCGTTTTAGTTAATAATTTTATTTTTTTCTATTATCTATTTTAGTGACACAAAAGAGTAAGTATAACTTTTTTGTATATATTGTATATATTTTACGTCCTACGGAGGCCTTCCATACATCGGCGTGAAACTGGCCAAGCCTACTTTGGTGCCCATAGCACGTACAGGCCGCATATAGATCTTCCTGTTGTATGTTCTATACACGCTAGATCTATGTCTGTACGTGAAGAGCCTTGGCTCTCTATAGCACCACCAAGGTAGTTCTTGGTCGCGCGAGCAACTATTAGCTGTTAAGCAAAAAAACAATTATTTTTCATTCCAATCAAATTCATTTCTTATTTCATTTAACAAATAAATAAATAAAAGAAGAAGAAAAGAAACATATGACGTAATCTTATATTTTAGCTTTTTTCTTTTCTTTGAAGCGAAAGAGTAAAAGAAGATTTCTTTTTTCTGTTCATTTATTTCAAAGTATAGAAAAAGAAACGAACAAAGAAAAAATAATTCACAAGTCTTATTCGATAGAAAATCGTTGAACACGACTATTACCTGCATCAGCGACATAGAGATTACCATGTCGATCGAAAGACAAACCGATGGGGCTGTATAACTGATTTGGTTCTGCTCCTTTACTATTTCCACCCACAATTACAGCGCCTTGTTTCTTGTCTCCTTGAGTCCAACGCATTACACGATCATTATTCGAGTCTGCTACATAGAGTGTACCCAACGTATCAACGAAGATTCCATTAGGATAATACAATTTTGTCAGAGCATTCCCTTCATTTTGTCCTCCAGCGACCACAATACCTTCTGTTGCACCTTTATTCCATTTCATTACACGATGATTGTTGCAGTCTGATACGTACACTGAATGATCTCGGTCGACAAAGAGATATGTCGGCCAGTTGAGTTGATTGAGTCCATCACCTTGTCCATTTCCACCAGCTACGAGAGTGTAATTCTTCTTATCCAATTGATATCGTCTTACTTCATGTTTTCCGGTGTCAGAGACGTAGAGATTTCTCTGCTCATCCATTGCTAGTTCATAACAATTGATGTTGTCGATGAGTATTTCACCTTGTGTTGTACCACTACGACGAGACCATCGTACAACTCGTCGATTTCCATAATCGCAAACAATGAGACTATCCGTCTCTTTGTCAGTTAATACATCAGTTGGACCATTCAATTGATGTAATCCATTTCCTTCGCCTTTACCACCAGCAACAACTTGTCCATTCGTTGTATCACCGTTCTTCCATTGCATGATATGATGATTCCCGCGGTCAGCAATAACCACTGTTTGATCATCATCAACGAAGAGACCAAAAGGTCTGCTGAGTTGATTAGTGGCACCCCCATACCCGTTACCTCCAGCAATAGTCAGCCCGTTCTGCTTCCATGTAGCATTAGCAGGAATACTAACTAGAAGAGAAAACGTATAAGAATCAGATGAGATCTTTCTCTTTCTCTCGAAAGTATCGAGTAAAATTCTTTGAATAGATCATTCTTTCTTTTTTTTGCTAGAAATTCCTCAGAATAATCTATATACTGAAAGATTATTCTATAGCACAAGAATATAGAGATTCTCTCTAATGCTCTTTTTTCTTGCATCAAAATAGTTCTATATTTTCTATGAAGATATATGAGCTTATCATATGCGTACGTTGTTGTATTATTTTCCTATCTTGAGGATGTCAATTTACAGTTGATGTTTGTTTAACTTCGTGAAAAGTTAATTTAATTCTAACGGGTGGGCCATAAAGAATTGCCCTCTTAGTATTTTTCATAAATGTACTCCTTTATTCGTATGGTAAAATATCTTTTACTATCATAAGATGGCGTTTGAAATTCTCTATCAGAATATATATGATTGAATTTGAAAATCATTTCGAACACCGGGAACGAAAATGAAAAGTAAAGATCTTCAACTAGCCGCAAGAAAGAAATATGAAAATGGTGATGGTCCAACGAAAATTTACCGCGATTTAGCCGGAGTTGTTTCATTAAGAACAATTCAGTTATGGGTTAAAATGCTCAACGAAACAGGCTCTATCGATCTGTCCCATTCCCCTGGTCATCCACGCACAGTACGAACAAAAGTAAATATCTCAAAAGTTAAATACCGTCTTGCTCAGAAGAAACAGATTTCATCAAGACGGTTAGCTGCTGAGATCATACAAGAAAATCAAACAACCAAGGCTCACTGACCTACAAAAAAAGAAGAGGGTTAAATTCGCAAACTGGGTTTTAAATCATTACACCAAAAACGACACCGAAAGATGACTTTTTTCTGATGAAAAATATCTTGATTTAGACGGTGTCTATAATGTTCAGAATGACCGTGTGTGGGCGATCAGTAGAGCAGAGGCTGAGAGACAAGGTGCTATACACCAAAAAACAAAATTTCCAATAAAAGTTATGGTGTGGCTCGGTGTATGTGCACAAGGTCTCACTGAACCTGTAATCATAGAGCATGGAACCATGAATGCTGAAAGATATATCAACGAAGTGCTTCACATTGCTCTAAGGTCAGGTAATCGAATGTTGAGAGACGATTGGACTTACCAACAAGATGGTGCAAAGCCCCACATCCATAAAATGGTTCAAAAATGGTGTGCTGATCATTTTCCTTCCTTCATATCAAAGGATCGTTGGCCGCCAAATTCACTTGATTTATGTCCACTAGACTATAGTTTATGGAATGAACTAGCTGGATCTATGGATTGGCACAAAATAGCAACAAAAGAAACACTGATAAATGAAATAAAATGTTCTGTTAAAAAAATTGAAAAAACGAAAATTTTACATTCTGTACACGATTTTACTATACGATTGCGTCAAATCCAGAAAAACGGAGGAGACTATATTCGTTAAATAATATATACCACATTGTGCAGAATTTCAAGCGCTTCTTTTTTGATAAAAAGATATTTTCATTAATCGCATTCTGTAGCAAGAAATCTCCAAAATACTAAGAGGGTAATTCTTTATGGCCCACCCGTTAAATTAAATTGCTACGAGGAAAATACGTGACTTTAACACAGTAGTAGTAAATATACTAAATGAGAGGACAACGTAGTAGTTTAGGTTAATATTTGTTCAAAATAGTCAAAAAATTTCTCTACAGATTATGCAGGATCCGTCACCTTTCCTTTCTTCTTCAAAAACATCGGGATGCTCATAACTATATATATATTTAATAACAAAATTCGTAGAAGAATGACTATATAATTTTATCAAATATATTTGACTTTAAATAGTAGCAATCAAGTCAAGAACTATGTTTATCTACTCGGTTTCAAAATTTAGTTAAATTAAAATGTGACACCCCTATTTCGTATGATCAAAAAATATATTTTTGCTAGAATCTTTTTCGCTTTCTCTTAAATAGAACATTTCTTACTTCTAGAATATTTTTGACTTATAATTATAATGGAGCAATAGAAATATATATTGGAATCAGAGGAATAATTCTCGCTTAACCCTTTGTGTCCCGACTTTTTTTTTACTGAATTTAAGCTTACAAAAACATACTAGTATGCATCTAGATGATACAACGACCCATGTAGCCGATAATGGATAAATAATGGAAAATGACTCATTGTTTTCCATTATTTAAAAAAAACATGAATTAATGCATTATAATTAGTTATTTTTTGACTTTTCAATGCATTTCAATGCATTATCAGGTATATGTAGAAATTGAGGATAAGGCATTATTATTCAATGCAATATAATGCATTATTTAGAGCAATGTTTTTAAATTAGAGAATTCACAATTTTCGTAAAAGAGATACTGAAAAAGTGATTTCAGGTAGATATTTGATTTGTTCTAACTTTCTGTGTATCGAGCGCTTTTCAATAAGAGTCGTGCAAGTTAAAGAGCCAACTAATAAAAAATATTACCTGAGTTACAGCGTTCAGAGTACTTTTTCAATCCATTTTCCCCAATAATGAAACCCTACACTATTGAAAACTTGTGTCAAAATGTGATGAGGTATATCAGATTATCCTTTCAGTTTCGAAAATATTTTTCCAGGTAAGCCGAAGGGTTTCTGAGCTTATTCAATCGCTAAAATGTGCACTAACGAACCGAAACCGATCTCGAGTTTCTATTTGATGAAATGAAAGGCTACTAAAGTTTTGAATGAATATTCTGTAAAATGAAAGAGATCACAATACTCAAACGCCTCAAAAGAAGTTTTTACTATTCGTCATTGCTCAGTTTCGGATGTAACTAGTGAACTAAAACTGCTCACAGTATCAAATATAACTGATTAGATCATGAATCATTATGTTTTCCAAATCTGAAACCATTTTAATATTATTGAAACACCCTTACGTCATATATATGTTCTTGAACTGTTCTCGCTTTCAATTACAATTCTACATGATCCAACAGGTAAGTTTGAATTCAATAATAGTAAAATTGTTTATTCATTGTCTTTTGTCTTAAGCTCTTATCGATCTGCTCGAAATGGTAAGTTATACAGTTCAATATTAAAGTTATTTTGATTTCTTTTTCCTGTGTTTTAGATTGACATCGATTATGATCGAAACGGTAACTTCGAATTTAATAATAAGCTTATTTATTCATTAATTGTCTTTTGTTTTAGATTCTTATCGATATGATCAAAATGACATGTTATGGGATATATATGAGAGGGCTGATGAAAGTTAAGGGGTTAAGTTAGAAAAATAGATTAAGGTTAAAGGGTTAAGTTAAGGGGATGGATGTGCAGAACCGCAGAAATACAACCCATGTCATAAAAGTGACGCGATTTTTATGACATGGGAATTACAGTGATTGGATATCAATTTAATAGTATTATATAGATCTGTGTAGGAAATGCTTAATATGAAGTTTTCAATGTATTATGATGCATTACTATAAAAACAAGCATTTGGATGCGCTGATAAATCAATACGTTGCAATGGATTATATTAAAAATAATTCATTATAATGCATTAAATAGGTTGCATTATGATGTAATTGCATGCATTGCATTTCTATTGTAAAATAATGCACTGCAATGTCCATTATTTCATAAAATCGGCTACATGGGGAAGCCTTTGGTTACATTACATAAAAGGAATTGTGATTGTATGACTGTATATTTAATTATTTCAATGTTGATATACATAGTGTTTTGATGATACAAAGAAAAACAATTTTTCACACATAAACAAACATCACATCTGTTATTTTTTCTTCTTCTTCTTTCGTGCTACAATAAGCACATTGACGACGAGTTGAAATAACTTCTGGCATATGAGCTAAGAGTTTTGGTTTTTCACTGTTTTCTTTGTCACTAATGCTCTTTTCGATATGCGAACCTTCTTCTGATTAACTTATTGCTAAAGGTCGTCCTATCCTTTTTCTACTAAAATAATTACTTATCAGTGCAGTACTAATAGACGATATATATTCTATACCGTAGTAATATTACTATTGGAAAGATTTTTATAATAAATAAATGACTTTACTAATGACATACCAAGAAAATGAAAAAATATTCTCATCCAATTTCTCTTTGACTTTCGATCTATAGTATAATACTTTATTTTTTGGTCAGATAAATCTACATCTCCCATGTATTTATTATACTGAACAATTGCTAATGGACAAGAAATTTGCTTTCTATTGCCGTCTTTATCTCGTCGACTAACTTCACTCTCAACTGCAGGATCGAAATAGTTTCATGCAATAAATACTTCTTTCTTGTCCATCCATTTTATTACAGAAACTCCATTAGATGTTAGATATCGATAATCGGCTCTCTCAAGTTGTTGTCCTTTCTTCAATTTAGTTGAAAAATATTTTCTATCGGAATGAATTGTACCGGTAGCTGAAACTTTTTTTCTCCTCAGCGTGTAGAGTAATTGTAAGGAAGTAAAATAACTATTATCAAAAAATAATTGACGATTCTTCATTTAAAAACTTGAGTTATTAACTTTCTATTCCCAATCGTCCATTGAACTTTGCCTGAATTCTTCTTCGACTAATGAATCATCGTCTTCGGAATCACTTCTTTCAAGTTCATCAGAACTAATTGAACTATCATTTTCATCGGATAAGGTTTCGTCAGAATCTGAATCCATTTACTTTTAGAAAACGGTTACGGTACGGTTAGGTTTTCGTCGTTACACAAAGGCACAATTAGTCGAAACACGACATTTTCAAAAGCTTAGGTTTTTGAAGAAAACTTTCTGAAATGAAATACACATATCCATAGGCGGCGAAACGATTTCAATCTAGGGTAGGCTCAATTTTCCAGCGAAATGATGTCAGGAAGATAGTGAGAAAATGGCCCTCATCATATTTTTTCAATGCTAGACACCATATACCTTCTTGCTAGATTTTGATTCTGTATAAGTGGGATAACTTTAGAGTGCTTTATTTTTTTTAGATAAAACAAGTAATAACGAAGTATCACAGAACAACTACTTAAAAATAAAACGAATCTAAAATATAATAAAACCACACAGCACCAAAAAATGTTTTTCTATTTTCATTCTTTGAAATAAAATCAGAACAGACGCTCTTTAAATCAAGTGAATCGAATTTATCTTTATGAATGTGAGGAATAATAACGTGATTTAAACGTTGTTGACTCATTGTGCAGCGTAAATACGTTTTTATTCTATTAAGAACACTGAGCGATCTTTCGGCAGTGGCTGTTGTTACAGGTACTGTCAAATATAATGTTGTGTAATAATGCGTCATCTGTCATGACAACAAAAACTAAACTATAAGAAGATACGTTTACATGTAATAGAGCCTACTCAAGCGTTTAATTCTTATAGTTTGAGCCTATCAAAGTCTATCCACTTTTATTCTAGGGTAGGCTTGTGCCTACCCACGCCTAATGGCTCCGCCGCCTATGTTAGAGTAGTAAGCGAGCGCACTTAAATATTACAACAGTTGTCGAGGAATTACCTGGAGATTTCACACCAAATCAGAATGTTCGCGGAAAATTATCAAGATGCCCTCGGAGAGACTATACCATTAGTTGATCACATCAACTCATACAAATCACCAAAGTAATCTATATATGGGTGTATAATTACGGATAGATATATGCATAGACATGGGAGTGGTCACTCGTTATATAACGCGCACTTTCCCTTTTTCAACAGGTAGGGAAATAGAAAATGAAATCGAGAAAGAGAAAAAAGCGAGTATATAAAA